CTGGGCTTGGGGAGGTTTATGAGCTCGTTTCCTGGTGAGAACATCACTGAGAAGACACTAGAAGCCATGTTGACTTGAAGCTCCAACAAGGCCCATTCCTGGGACTCTAGGGAACAACACCCTGAAGAGGAGTACGGGGAAACTCAGCGGGGAGCCCTAAGGAAGACGCTCAAAGCAGAAAGGGGAGTGGCCATATCTTACAACCACAGCGGGTCATGGGGGCCCTCCCAGATTCCAGAAAAACAGCGCATGGGAAAGAGACCGTGTCACGTGACAGCACTGCCATAACCGGGGAATGAGAACAGCTCCTGACCAAAGAAGCCATGATCCCTCTGACCCCCGGTGAGGCTCACTCTCTAGTTGTCTATCCTGCTAGAATGATTAGCCCCCAGATGTGCTGAGTCTCTGGAGAGGGCGTGGAGGTTAGTTTCAGAGGTTGGAGGCTGCAGTTTTGCAGGAAACAAATAGGAATGAAGACATCCATCCCAAGGTCTCTAGCGAGCACTGTGACCAGACGTTTCCCCTTTCTGATCTTCAACTTCTCATCTATGTTTTCTTTCCTTTTAGGCTTTGCCATAGGGTGTATGCACTTGCCAGAGACAGGCAGGAGAGGGAAAGCAAGAAATCACCCCCCGACCACTGCCACCCCAGGAGGATGGCCACATGGCAATCCCTTCTCCTTCATTCTCCTATGCACATGCGCCTGGCGTGTTTTTCAAGCTGCTGGGTCTGGAACTCGAACCGTGGCTGGCCATGTGGGAATCCAGCACCTTAACCACCACGCCTTCTGCTGGCCCCGAATTGCTCATCTCTTAAACAAGGTGCTGGAGCCTTACGGGTCCCTGTGGCTGCGGAACGACACATGGCTGTGGAGACTGCTTCTGCCTTCTCAGTGTTCTCCCCTCACAAAGAGCAGGCAACACAGCGGGGGGGGGGAGGGAACACGTGGGACCCCCAAAGGAGAAGCAGCTGCCCACGAGACAACGAAGGTGTACTTCCTGGGCCCAAGCCCTGGTAAGAGTGCATCTCCCCGCAAAGGTCAGGTGTGAGAGGCAGCCCCCATGACTCTGTGATCACCAACTGGCAAGACAGAAATTTCCGTGAGGAAATGGAGGCTATGTTTCAAACAGGAGCCAAGGAGAAGCCACCCTGTTTGTTCCTTAGCGAATGCCAGTGTGGACCACGTGTTTCCTAAATGAATTGAGGTGCAACGAACACCTGAAATCACATGGCCACAGACTTGTAGGGAGATATGAGATCTAAGAGAGTTTACTGGAAGTAGGCAAAAGTGGGGAAAGGAAAAAGACTAGCTTTTATTTTTTTATAATTTGCCAGAGGGCACATGCACTTACCAGGAAGAGACACAGAGAGAGAGAGAGAGAGAGAGAGAGAGAGAGAGAGAGAGAGAGAGCGAGAGCGAAATGAGAAAGCATCCTCCATGGGAAATGGTCATCTCATCCCTCCCTCCTTTCAGGATTTGAGGGACACACACATGGTTCTCAAGCTGCCAGGTCTCAGCCTCGACCTGCACGGTGGCCACGTGGCATCTGGCCATCTTCACCACGCCCCCAGCCTGAGAACAGCTCCTTCAATCGTGGCACTGGAGCAGAGCTCGCGCATGCTCAGTAGTCTCTCCTGCACTCGGCAGACCTCAGCCCGCAGGATGGCTGGCTCTGCAGCCCCAGCTGGACTCAGGGCAGGTTCGCAAACAAGCCCACGGCACACCAGCCACCTGCCCAACTGGCAGAAATCTCAAACGGGATTTATGATCAGGACGGTAGACCAAACGCCTGAGATCATCTTTCCCCTCACAGGACCCTGTGGAAACAGGAGTGAAGTAATGGAAGGTGAATAACCACAAAGACGAAGGGATGGGGAGGAAACCTCAGGAGCCAAGAAACGCCCGCCTGCTTATGGCAGGAGCATAACTGACAGGAATGGGCAGGGCAGAGGGATCCTAATGTGGCTGCAGAGGGGATGCCCCTGAGCAGGCAGCAGAGTCGCGCTGTGGCATCCTGGAAAGGCTTGGGGATGGAGCCGGAAAGATGGCGAGAGGCACTGGGCAAAGACAAGGGCCTCTGTTGACCCTCAGGGCCTTGCGCCTCCCATGCAGCCAGACAACCGCTCTGCTCCGAATCTGTGGCAAAGCTAGACACTTCACCAGGGACACTAGGCACAGCAAAGCTGGCAGCAATGGAGTGAGAGTCGGTACTGTGATGAGACTGCCCGGTCGGCGGCCAGGACTCGGGCGCTCAGGTACACTGCGGACTCTGGGTAAGGCCCAAGAGTGTGCTCACCACACAGGAGCACTGGCTAAGGGAGCAGCCAAGAGGGACAATCTCGCCTTTGTCTGCTCTTTAAGTCTTGCCCCAGTCAGGGCTGCACCTGCCTGGAGGAACGGGCAGTGTCTTCCGCCAGGTCTAGCCAGGCGCTCATGGGCAGTTTCGGCCCAGAGCAGGCGCTGTTGTGAAATTGCACAAGGGCACTGCACTGGATAGAACAATAGCAGCCCTGTGGGTGTCCTCTGTCCCGGCAGGAGAAGAGTGGAAGTATCTCTAAAGAGAGAAAATGAGTCCCAGAGACCTGCAAACACTGATCTGTAGGGTTCTCCAGTGATGAATCCAGATGCCTCCTGACGGTCTGGTGACCGTCAAGAAAAGCCTACTGGCTGACGCAGTTCCCGACTACTTTTGTTGTTGATAGGGTCTCGCTAGGTTAGTCATGCTGCCTCCGTCTCCCGAGCAGCTGGGACTGCAGGTGTATACCACCACATGTGGCTCATTCAGACAGGGGCTCACTGTGTCACCCACGCTGGCTGTGAGCTTGTGATCCTTCTGCCTCCGTCTCCCGAGCAGCTGGGACTACAGATGTGTGCCACCGCGCCTAGCTTTTCACGGTGGGCCAGGAATTGAGCCTGGGCCTTCCATGTGGCCTCAGCCTGCCGAGTAGCAGCCTCAACCATTGTGCTACTGTGGCAAAACAGGTTTTTGATATGTCACTCTTAAACATGAACGGCTCCATAAGATCACCAGATATTTGAGGGACGCTTGTCACATGAAAGCAAGAGACTGAGACCAACCAGAAGAAAGGGAACGCAGCGCAAATGAAGGCGAGACAAGGAAAATGTAAGACTTCCCAATAAAACACTATCATTAACACACAGAAATAAGACCCGCATCCACGAACCAAGAACAGGAGATTATAAGACAAAAACAGGAACACAGCTACAAAAAGTTTTGAAAATTACAAGTTAAATAAAATATTCATATAGGAAAGACAAAACTGAATAATTCTTTCTGAAAATTGATCAAAAAAAATAAAGAGATGAGACATAGGAAAGATAAAGATAGCAGACGATCAGCCTAGGAGATCTAACATTAGAACACAGATGGTCCGGAAAGAAAGAATGTGAAGAGTTATAAGAAAAAGAAAAATTCCCACTAGGGTTCAGCACAAGGATAATAATAATGATGCAATATTATCATAACAACTCAGAGCATCAAGAACAAAGAGATCTTGGGACCAGCAGTTGGCGTAATGGCTATGTTGCTGAACTCCCATGTAGTCTGCGGCGGTTCGAGTCCCGGACCCGGTGGCTTAAACATGAACGGCTCCATAAGAACACCAGGTGTGTGTGTGTGTGTCTGTGTGCGTGCACAAGATCCTGAGAGGAGAACGGAGGAGAAGGGATTACGGTGTGGCCATCCTCCCTTGGGAGTGATTTCTTGTTTTCTGTCTCCCTGTGTCTCTCTGTCTTCTGGCGAGCGCAAGTGCCCTATACCAACAAAAAAAAAAAAAAAAGAAAAGAAAAAAAGAATAAAGAGATCTTACTTGTTTCGAGGGATGGGGAAAAAGTCCAAGGTGTGAGAATCAGAATGGCATCAGGAATCTCAATGACCCCGTTTACAGGACAGGGCAAGGTGTTATTTTCTGCCTGTAATTCTATGCTCAATCACACTTGGGTAAGGACAGGATAAAGATACTTTAGGGCATGCAAAAAAAATCTCAAAATATTTATAATACTTCTCATGTGTTTCTCCAAAAGTTACCAAAGAATGTGAGACACACACACAAACACGTACACAAAGAAAATATTAAATCAAGGAAGAAATTTGATCAAAGGGGACATGTAACCATAGCACACTAGTGAGCTCAGGAGCGAACAATCCTCACACACCACAGGAACAGCGACGCTGAAGAGATGATCAGAGGATGTCATCTAACTAGACAGGGAAGTAGGGTATGGGTAAGTGGGAAATTGTCATCTGTAATAACTGCAGGTCAGTAGATGTTTCTAAATTAATTAAAAAGTAAGGTGCAAGCGTGTTATATGGAAATGCAAAGGTAATTAGGAGAAAATAGGTAAAAGAATTTAGTGGTTACTGTAGGAGCAAGACTTCGGAGACTGCTAGTTCTCATGAACACCTTGTAGTATTTTGATTAAAAACACACACACACACACACACACAATCATAGGCCAGCAGGTGGGCATGGAAGTTAAGGCGCTGGATCTCACATGGCCGACTGCACAGTTTGAGTCCCAGAACCAGTGGTTTGCAATTCATGCTGGGCATGTGTGCATGCGTGTTCAAAATCCCAAGAGGAGACCGCAGGAGGGGCTGCAGTGCGGCCATCCCCCCTGGGAGCGATTTTTCAATTTTCTTCTCTCTCTGTCTCTCTTCTGGGGAGTGCACATGCCTTATAGCAAAAAACTGAAAAACAAACAAACAAAAAATACCACAAGCAATGGGATGATTTGTCCTACGGCCTTGTGTATCTATTTTCTACATCCAGTATCTTCCATATAAGCCTATACTGAGATTTTTTTTCCTTTGGAAAAAAAAAAAAAAAGCAGTTTATTGCCAACCTGAACCAAATGACTCTCAGGCGTCTTGCCAGTAGATGTTTTAAATATTATTACAAGTTGTAATAGGTGAGAGAAGAAGCCTGCAGAGAGTTTTCTGTACAAGGTCTAGACCCATAAAATGAATTAATTCACATTTGGGTCAGCTCTTCTCTGGCTCTTCAAGCATCTAATTTAGGCAAGGACTGCATGGTGTCCAGGGTCATAAAATATCACACATATTATCTTTATTGTCTGTACCTCTGAGCTTTCAATGATGCCAAGGAGCTCATTAATTAGTTCATTTTCCATGGGGCTCTTGGCCTCTCAGATGGAATCACGCCAAGCTCCCAGCAGCTTTGGACTTGGAAGGCTGAGCGTCTTTGGGGGAGCAGAGGCAGACTATAATCAGAATGGTTTAGAGGCCAGATTTGAGCTGTCATCTACTCAAAAGTGCTATGTAAATTCTTTTGGCCGTGCTGGAATTCTGTGAACTTGAAACCCACTGCTCGAAATAAGCAAATCCTTGGCTCGCTAAGAAAGAAACATGATTCCTGGAGTCAGAATAACGCTAGGCTGTCAAACGACAAGCTGTTACGGCTGTCCAAGGTATTCCAGAAGGAAGAAGAGATGAGCTTGATGTGAATAAATGCTTCCTCACGGGAAAAATGCAAGAATGAAACGATGCTTACCGGTTGGCCTAAACGTTTTCTTTGAATGAGGACATTTTTATCTGGTCTTTTCACCCTTTTTGACACATTCGTGTGACCAGTGGAAGTTTCCTAGAAGTGACGGCAAACCCGGACTGGGCACCAGGTAGCCGGTGTGCTCACTGCGTGTCTATTCCTGGTTGGCTGTGTGACTTTGGTCAACCCACTCTACTTCTCTGGGCTCAGCCAGACAAGATGCTGAGGCTCCCTCCTCATAGTTGACAGTAGACGCTATTTGAGGGGGAGGACTTGGAGGAGTCAATACACACTCTCCACTGACATGAGTCTTGCAGGAAAGAGGGGAGGGAGCCCAAGGCCGAGGAGGATAGAAGCGTAGGGGAATGTCTTGGTCTGGTCTACTCCAAAGAAGCTTTCGAGAAAGCCTTGGCAAGAAACCCATTACAACTGACCACAGAGGATGCCCGAGCCAAGAGCCGCTCCTGTGGCAGGCAGGTGTGCACAAAGCTTTCTCGGGCAGGAATGTGCAGGGCCCCTTCCAGCCCTGGCATTGGCAGGAGCTTATTCTGGGTCCAATCACTTCTGCCTGTGGTCAGGGCTTCCGACAGTACCTCAAGGACTGGCACAGAGGACTCAGAGCAGTCACTGAAGCCAGGGGGTGGCCAAGGCAGGGTGGAAGGGGGTCTTGTGCTGCTGACGTCAGCCAGAGCTGTTTCTAATGGATGGTCTAGACTGGCCCCACTCAGGTGGAAAAGCTTTAGAAGTCCTAGCTCTACCTTGATTCCATCAGTGAAAAAATGAATTGGAAACACATCATACCTGCCCCCATCCCAAACGAGAACTAGAATGACAAAGAGTATACCCTGGCTCCCGCCAGCCTTCAGCTTCTCCCCTGGGTGTGGCCATTCACTGTGGGAGGGGCTCGCCCAAGCCGGCTGCTCGGAGAACACAGCAGTCGCCGGTTTGACAGGGGCCAGAGCCCAGTCCCTTTCCAAGCACCTGGCCTTGGAGGGGATGTGGCTCAGCCTGGGGAGCCCACCTTCTTTCTCATCAGGGGGCCCTCGACTGAGAGGTAAGTAACTCAAGTTCATCCAGGACCTAAAGACCCTGCTGGGAGAAGAGGTTTTGGCTAAATATCAGTAACGACGCTTATGGCCCCACGGGCACGCACGTGCACACCAAACCCCGCTGCTCACCTGAGTTTCGAGCACGCAGCCAAGGAGAAATGCATGCTGGGTCTTGCAGAAGACAGAGGAAACATACACTGAACGAGTGGGAACAACAAGAGGGGGGCTAAGTTTCCGCAGTGGTCCTCAGTGCCTAGAACCCGAGTAAAAGGCAGTGAGAAGGGCCCCGCCCCGCTCAGGGTCCCGTCTCTTTATTATCCAGACATGCGTCAGAGCCTGGTGATGTCGAGCTGAGGGAAGAGCAGCAGGCAGTAGACCAGGAGCCAGAGGAAGATGATGAAGTACATCATGTCCGGCTGCTGCACCAGCTGGGTCAGAGAGTCGCTCTGGAGACCACAGGGCCCCGGCAGCCCGGCCTCTCCAGAGTTGCTGGCCTTCCTACAGGAGGAAAGACGGAGACAAGGCAGTCACAAGCAGGTTCCTGGGAAAGCGGCCACGTCCCGTGCGATGCCCTCCCCAACCCCGTACTCCAACCTCACTGCCCTCCTTGGGGCCTGACGCTTTTCCGTGAAGTATTCGGGGAGACCCACATCAGGAGTGTGGACCTCTGAGCTCTCACAGTGAGGGCAGATTCGTGACAACTCTTCCTAGTCCACGGGGCCTTCCGAGGGGCCTGGGGAGCCCTGTCTGCACACGACTCCTGCTGGAGCAGAAGCTTTGGTCCAGGGACAAGGGCAGCTCCTCAGTCCCGACCCAGTGCAGACACCAGACACAGCCAGGCCTCATGGTCTACACTCAGGCTAAACTCAGACGCTCTTTTCTGCAACTCTAAGTCTCTTTTTGACAGAGACTTGCATGTTTAACCAATTACTAACCTAGGAATTCCTAAGCCCACCTAGAGCCTACAAGCCCCTGCTTCCAGGTGTCCGCCATCCTGGGTCAGGCCCCCGGAGAGTGCCCTCCCCAACCCCGTACTCCAACCTCACTGCCCTCCTTGGGGCCTGACGCTTTTCCGTGAAGTATTCGGGGAGACCCACATCAGGAGTGTGGACCTCTGAGCTCTCACAGTGAGGGCAGATTCGTGACAACTCTTCCTAGTCCACGGGGCCTTCCGAGGGGCCTGGGGAGCCCTGTCTGCACACGACTCCTGCTGGAGCAGAAGCTTTGGTCCAGGGACAAGGGCAGCTCCTCAGTCCCGACCCAGTGCAGACACCAGACACAGCCAGGCCTCATGGTCTACACTCAGGCTAAACTCAGACGCTCTTTTCTGCAACTCTAAGTCTCTTTTTGACAGAGACTTGCATGTTTAACCAATTACTAACCTAGGAATTCCTAAGCCCACCTAGAGCCTACAAGCCCCTGCTTCCAGGTGTCCGCCATCCTGGGTCAGGCCCCCGGAGAGACTCCTCACGCTGATTCACTGAATCAGCTTCGGCTGCGTCTCCTGCCCTCAGAGCTGCATAGAAACCCCTGCATCTGAGCACCCCGGGAGCATTCTGTGTTTTGCTGAATGGCCTGTTCTCTCAGAGCTGTGTTTAGAATAAACCATGTTAGCTATTCTCTCTGCAGAGCTTGGTCATCTCCCAGTTTCTATCAAGGAGAGGTGAGAAGCCAGGAGCTGAGGGGAAGGGGGGCTCTGCCTGAATCTGCAGGTAGAGACACGTAGGCTGCTTAGGGCTGTTTCTGGGTGTGTGGGGGAGAGAGGATGGGACTGGGGTCCCCACACTGTTTCCCGAGTGAGGGCACAGTGGGAAGAGACATTTGCCACCATCTGCAAACTGGGTGATTCATGCACAGAGAGCAGGCAACTGGCAGAGCTGCTTTCTCTTTTTCAAAACTGCCTAGAGAAAGAAATTAAACTCTATTATATTTCCTATTAGCAAATGCTCGATGTAGAACACATGGAACACATACCCGCGTTTCTCAACTTTGCAGGTTCTATTTTTAGCATCTGTATCTCCTAAAAGCTAAAATATGTTTTTCAAGGAGCTTGCCCAGCCTTGTTGAAAACTCGGCTCAGTATTTCCACTTTCTGGCAGGGGAGGGACGCTCCCTTTAAAAGCCAGAGAGGTGGCGTTCTAAGGACCAGATGCCTGGGTGTTGGGCAACACTCACAGAGGCTTCCAATTCAGTCTTCTAAATCCCTCCAGGCCAGTTCAAATCCATGGCAAAAACAAAACACAATGACGCAAACAAACAAAAAAATGAAGGGATCCATGATACTGGGAGGGGCGGGAACATCTCAGAACTGTCACAGTCAGAGATTTTTCTGGTTTCCTTCTGGTTTTTGTTTTTTCTTTTTTTTTAAGAGAAATTTTTGCTTGCCAGAGGGACAGAGAAACAGAAAGTGAATCAGCCCCAGGGGGGATGACCATGCCTTAATTCCTCCTCCATCCTCCTCCTGGGATTTTGGGCACACACACACACACAGACACACACACACACACATGCCCTGCATGAGTTTCAAGCTGCGGGTCCAGGACTCAAACCATGGTCGACCATATCGGAGTCCAATGACATAACCATTACACCATCTGCTGGTCCCAGTTTCCTATGTTCTACACGGGCAGTTTCACATGAGACTCGGCCCGCTAGATTTCCAATGACAAAAAATACTTTCATAGACTTCCTGGCAAGTTTGCATCCCCGCGTCATGTCTGCTCTGACGCCATGAAACTGCAAAATCAGCTCAGTGAGCTTCTGAGTATTGTACCTGGAGTGGGAACACAGAAGGGACACCGCAGTCAGGCGCGACAGCGTTGCGGAACGCACACATCACACGGTCACCACCTGCTCTGCCCCCCGTGACCTCCCTGCCACAGCATGGTTATGTCCAACGGCAGGCCCATAGACAGGCATGCTGGGAGCCGGGCACTGCCCAGGAGTGCGCCCCCCCCCCCCCCCCCCCGCCACTCCTGCTGCAGCTGCATTCAGTCGACAGGTATTTGCTTGCATTTGTCCATTTATCAACAAAGCACGGTTGGGAAACCGCCACCCCAGAACGTAGGATGCGTAATTTAACCAAAACCCACAACGCTTGAACAAAGAGCAAAGCCACCCACCTGGTTGACGTTCGGTTTCTTCTGTCATCCAGATCTGCTGCAGTCTTCAACTGAATATAGCTAAAATGGTCCTACAGTGAAATTTATAAACAAAACCCCCGCAACCCAATTAGTAAAGATGGAATCTCTGAAACAGAAAATAAAATGATTTTAAACACACAAAGCCAAGCATGCCATGTTTTCTCAATGCTGCAAACGTCTAGTTCAAACTGCTCATCAACAGGCGTCCCTCTGCCCTTTGCCCTGGCCCGCCCACTGGTGATTGGGAGAGGCCCACCAGCTGTGACCCGAATGGGGCAGGCTGTGGACCTTGGCTATATGGGGTCCCGATCCCGGCACATCCCAGGCCAAGAACTTGCGAATGTAAAGTAGACCCCCTATTAATGTTGCACCTCCTTCTTTGAGTATGACCTTTCTGGGGGTGTGTGCAGAGGTCGTAGGGTGTTTTAGATGCATTTTTATAACAAAGAGGCCTTTGGGCTTTAAAATCGTCACTTTATTTACATCCCCTTATTGCCCAAACTGGAATCCGACTGGACTGTGCTTAACAACAAGGTCTCAATGTGCTTGTCTTCTATCCAAAAGTATAGTTGTTGCACGTCAGTAATTTCAAAGCTCTGGGCTGGGGAGGAGGAAGGACGGAAAGGAATCGATTAGCAGGGGCCGAGCAGAAGAAGAAATTCACATACTAACCGATTCCAAAGACCTATTAGAACGTCGTCGAATATAAATGCTGGAGTCGCTGTGACTAGGCCTGAAAAACAAACACACGTTTTGAATTGGTGCCACCCACAGCTCCGTGTGGCCCAGCTGTGTGGTCACCCCCACCCCAACTCTTCCACATGTGGACTGTGGCAAGTGATGACTTCAGGCCGAGGGACAGAAATGAGCAATTGGATTCAATATGGCCGCCTTCATTGGCATGTGCTTATAAACAGCAGGAGGGGCATTAGAGAGACACACGGGACCCTTGTCTACAAGAAGAAACAAAGTCAGGATGTTAAATAGAAAGTACGATTCTTGGACATCGTAGCATTTGGGCAGAAAAGGACTTCTTTCTCCAAGCATCCTGAGCTCCGGACTCGCCAAGATCCTTGGCAAGTGCCCGGACCTGGCACCTGGACTCCCCTCTCCAGTGCTGTTTTCCATGCATAGTGCTACTTCCTGCTTCTGGGCTGGACCACCTCCTTCCCTTTCACACACGAGATGATTTTCCGACCAGTTTTGAGGCTGATAGGGAATGTTCCTCTGTCCTTCTTCTGAATAGGGCTGGCCTGTCCAGGGCTGAGGCCTGGGCTACCATCCTGGCTCCTGGCTGCCTCACTGGCAATGCTGGCCAAGCATGTCCACCTCCACTTGGTTTCCTCATCTGTACAACGGAGCGCACTCCCACCCCTACTCTGCAGATCTGGTGGTGCTGGTGGGGATCTCGGTTCACTGTAGGGCAAAGCGCCGGGCCTTGTATTGCTGCTCAACAGGGAACTAGGTGTGGGGCGTTGATGTGCCTTGGCCCAGAGTCATCCCACTCTGTGCACATGTGGAAGACCTTCCTCAAAGCAAGACCACTGTGTGGCATCCCAGGGTCCAGGACAAAGGCATTGGACCCCGGAGCTTACTCTCCAGGAATTCGTGGTCAGCCCTGGTATTTCTGTCCACCGCTACCCTGAGAAACCTCGCCATGCTCTTCCCTTGAATTGGCTACCTCTCCAGCTAATAGTCAGTGAGCACCTACTATGCGCAGGGGCTACACCAGGCTCGGGGAGAGCCCTTGTCTGCAGTGTACAATCTGGGCTCATTTTTCCCAGCTGTTATCACAACACAGAACGGAGGCAAAATGCAGCCATAAAGACAAAAGAAACCTTGATGCCCAGAAGCTGGTGGTGGCCCACCGGAGCCAACACACACGCGGAACCCAGGGACGCAGAGCCATTCTCTCCACCACGAGTCTGTAACAGTTTCCAGTAGGAGAAAGGGTACCTCCACTAGGAGGAAAGGCTCGCTCTCTCTGCCCTTTCTGGAGCATGCGCTCTTTTAGGTGACCTTTGGCTTATACTAGAAGCAAATGAGATGCAGTGGGTTTGAACTCTGACCTCTGCTCTTACAGCCAACATCAAGAGCCCACTGTGAGCCAGGAACCGGCTAGGAGCTGAGGCCCTGACTCCTGGCCTCTGGGGCCAATGGCAGACCGAGGAAGCAAATGCACACACTTGTTCGTCCACCCACAGAGTTTTACTGAACGCCCACTGTAAGTGGGTGCAGTGCTGAACATGGGGCTAAGCTGGTGAACCCCCATCCGTGCTCCCCGCCCCGGGGAGCTGGCTCACCAGCTGGGGGAAAGGCAGATGGCAAATATGAGGGACTGAATAAATCTGTGGAGAAATGGAATTCAAGTATGGGTTTATTTTGGTACAAAAGGTTGAAATCCACAAATAGCTTTTGTATACTACACCTTTTCCATGAACCTTTTGAAGACTGTGTTTATGTCCCTATGCAAATTATTATCCTGTACCTAAAATGCTTGGGACTAGACGTGTTTGGGATTTTGGGCTGCCTGCATACATAGAACGAGATACGCTGGGCAGGGTACATCACACAAAATTCACTGATGCTTCATATCTTACGCACGTGGCATGAAGGTGATTTTATGTGTCATTTTTCTTTCTTTCTTCTTTTTTTTTTAAAAAATTTGCCAGTGTGTGTGTGCATTTGTCTGACAGAGAGAGGGAGAGAAAGAGAGAATATACCCTCCCCCCATGGGGAATGGTCACAACCACAATCTCTTCTCTCCCATTCTTCATTTTCGGATTTTAGACACACACACACACACACACACACACACACACACACACGGCATATGTCTCGATCTGTCAGGTCTAGGACGTGAACCACATGGTCCCTCAGGTGGAAACCAGCTGCCTTAACCATCATACCAGCCGCTGACCCTCCGCAGTATTTTCATATTATTAGCACTTTGACTAAAACCTGTCACATGAGGTCAAGTGTGAAATTTTACTTGTGGCTCTAGAAGTTTTTGGTTTTGGAGCATTTTGGATTTCAGATTTTTGGAAAAAGGATGTTCCACCTGTAGAAATTTCAGTGTTGATAAATTCTCTGAAGAAACAGTAGAGACTAGGAGACTGTGTTAAGGGGGACCAAAAAAGAGCCTGGAGGAACCCAAGGAGGCTGCTTGGAAGTAGTGGTAGTGTGGGACCAGATGGCATAATGGTTACATCGTTGGACTTCCATGTGGTTGACTGTGGTTTGAGTCCTAGACCCAGTGGCTTAAAACTTAGGCCGGGCACATATGCGTGCATGCCCAAAATCCTGAGAGGAGACTGGAAGAGAAGGGATTGTGGCATGGCCATCCCCCCCAGGGAGTGATTTCTTGCTTTGTCTCTCTATCTATCTGGCAATCTCATGTGCCCTACAACAAAAGAACTCAAAAAAAAAAAAGGAAAGAGAAAAGGGTAGTGAAGCTAAGACCCAAAAGCTGAGAAGGGGCAAGGCAGAGGTCAGCATTGCAGGCAGAGGGAAAGCCCTCAAATGTGAGCAGTCTGGGGTGGAGCTGGGGAGGGGGCAGTCAAGGGACTTAACCAAGGCTGAGGTGCCGCTGCAAGGAGGATGGAGCTGAGTCTGGGGGACAGACAGCACGGGGTCCTGCAGGCCCTCGCCGTCTATACTAATGGGGAGTTACAGGGAGTGGCTGCATCAACACATGGCCAGAAAGACACCCTGTGCTTGGGGAAAGCAGTTCCTAGAGCACAGTCCCCAGGGCTCGTCCCATTCCACAGCCTAGGCCCAGGTGTCACCTGCGAAGTTGCTTCTTGTACGGCCATGTGGGATGCAGCCGCCTTAACCACCATGCCAGCAGCTGGCCCGGCCCTGGCCTTCTCAACCTGCCTCTGAGCTCCAAAACGTGCATCGTCACTCGCCTGCACCTACCACCCGCTCCTGGTAGCGCTGGTGGTAACGTCTCTGTCGCCCAAGTATAGAGCCCTGGCTGGTCACCTCCGTGGTTGACCTTGTTCTCCTGCTTCTGAAGTTTCCAAGCCTAGCAGACGCCATGACAGAGGGGCTCCTGAGAGTTATCTGAGAGTTGGTCCCTACGTAGGGAGAAGCTGAGTGGTCTGGCAAATGACGGGTGACCCCTCCCCGAGCGCGGGGCGTCCAGCAGCCCTGGGCATCTGCCCGCAGCCTTTCTTTGTGCCTTGCGTCAGGGCCCACGACACGTTAAGAACACAGATGCCTGCTGGGTGGTTATGTTCAGGGACAGGGACGCAGGAGTCGCGGCAGTGGCCTCCTGCTGTCTTGCCCCTCCTTGCCCCGGTTGTTTCCCCACAGCCCAGGCGTGGAAGTGAGCCAGAGGGGAGATGGAGCCCCGGGCACCCAACGGCCTCCCCTTGGCCGTACGGGCTCTCCCTACTCACTCCCCCTGCACCTCTCAGTCGTTTCCCTGTGCAGCCACCGCAGGCAAGGTGAGGGGTGTTGAAAAGGACGTGGGCCATGGACCAGACCCTGTGCCTTCCTCAGCGGGAGACACTGGCGTCGTTGCGTGGCTGCAGCCTTGCTTGTCTGCCCTAACAAGGCACAGTCCCACCCGCCATGGGAACGGATGAAGAAACACGCGGGAAGAGCCTGACCACAGTCTGGACCCCTGCATGTGACGAATGACGGGAGACCAGGGCTTCTGGTGTCCGGCAGCGACTGGTTTTCCCTGGGACAGCCCAGCTCTCTGGTGGCCATGGAGTGACAGAGCAGCCTCTTGCAGACCCACGACATGCACTGTCCTACAGCACGCAGAGTCTGCTACTTTCTTGCCTCAACCTACCACGGTCCCGCCCTCTCTGTGGCTCCCAGCCAGAGGTGCAGCCATGGAGAGAGGCCAAGCTTCACATCCTCCCAGCTTTGCTCCTTAGAGTGGGCTGTAGGGACCCCAGGACAGAGTGAGGACTGCGTGTGAGACTGTATTTCCCTGCTGTCTGATCCCTCCCGTGCACCCCCATTCAAATCAGAAACTGGAAACGCAATGCCGCGTGACTCTCTGGCTCCATCTCTGGGGAGAGAAGACACTAATAAAATACCTGGAAGGGACTTGGTGGTCACCGGCGTTGTCTTCGAGGTCGTCTGAGGAGTGAACTGTCCCAGGCGCTACAAACAATGAACTTTCCGCGTGGTCCACGTGTTTCCTCTTCTCCTTTTTCTTACTGCTGACTGAGCCTCCCGTTACTTTTTCTTCTAAAGGGTTTGCTACGGTTTCCAAGTTGGGAGATTCCTGGGACTGGAAGACAACGCAAGCAAAGACAAGTCAGGGGTCCGTGTGAGACACAGCAGATCGTGGAGCACTTAGTGGTGCTACAAAACCATGGTGTAAACACAGCATGGGTTTCGGACCCAGCTGTCTGAGCAGAGGCCATGGCTTTCCCTCTTTGAGGCTCGGTTTCCTTGACTGACAAGTGGGTACAAAAATTACCCACCTCTTCTCACTATACCAGAGAGTCTCCTATGAAGTGGGCAATGGCCAAACCCCTCACACGCCCATTATCTGCTTAAACAGAGGAAAGGATCCAGAAAGTCGGGTGGGCCAAGGGGTGCCATGGTGTTCTGTGAGTTGGAGAGGTCTACCCAGAGGCAGGTGTCGGCTTGTGGAATGACATCGCCACGGTGCCTTTGGCCAAAGGTGGACCCTAGCACAACACCTCTAGCCTTTACGTGCAAAGGGAGATTCTTTTGCCACTGTCCATGCCAGGCCCTGACCCCCAGCCCCGTGCTCTGGAGTGAAATCCAGAAGTGTGGAAACTGGAGGGGAGGGAACCTCTCAAGAATTCCTTCTGGGACTGGAAGAACCTGTCAGAAGAGGATTAGAGCGGGCAGGCCAGCAGCAACCCAGGAGAACGTTCTGTGCAGGAGTTTAAGTGGCCCTCAGCAATTTGAAACCACGGTAAGTACTTCTCCCTCCACCCATGGGCAAATGCTGCCTTTTCTGACAAGGAGAAGACTTTGATTTGAAAGACTAGAGGAAGAAACATTTGCAATTGCTTTTTCTTTCTCTTTAGAGGTATTTTTGCTACGGGGCACATGCACTCACCCGAGAGACAGAGACAGAAAGAGTGGGAAATCACCCACCAGGGGGATGGCTACACTGCAATCCCTTCCTCTCCAGTCTTCTCTTCGAATTTTGGGGACACATACACACACGCGTGGCATGAGTTTTAAGTCACGGACGGGGTCCTGGGACTTGAACCACGGTCTACATGGGAGTCCAACAACATAACCATTATGCCATCTGTGGTCCCGACATTTGTCATTTTTGACTCTCTGGCTAGAAAACGTCTTTTTTTCTTCTAAAGAAAGAAGTGGGGCTGCAAGCTCCTGAGTCCGGGCTAAGTGCGAGGTGGCAGTACGAGTATGACAATACTTTGACAGTGACTGCTGGTCAGACCCCGCAGGCCCTGGTGTGATTGCACCTGATCCTCATCACAGCCCCGTGAGGAGGACCAGGGCTGGGTGAAACCGGCAAGATGCTCAGGGCGTGAGATTTCAGGAAGAGCTCACTCTGGGGTGCCAACCCGGTCCAAGCCTCACAGCGAGCGCCTCTTGAAGTACTGCACCCTGGGCCGCCCCTTACCCGTACATTATTAGCTGGGGATCCAGCTCAGCTCCAGAGAAGTGCCCATTCCCAGGTAGGGCCCGGGTTCCCGAACCCGGCAGGCGTACCTTCTGGCCCTCCCCTGGGTCACTCTCTCCAGCCTCCCTTTGGTGTTGGTCCTCCTCGGGGGGTGAGGCAGTGGGTTCTGAGGCAGGAATGGCCGGCTCCGTGTCCCTGCCGAGATCCGACTCCTGGTCTCTGGCACTGGGCCATGGGACCTCACCACCGGGCACCGAGAAACTGCTGCTGCTCTGGGAGCCACCGGCCTGCTCCTCCTGGGAGTCGAGGTCATGCGAATAACCCTCTGGCTCCTGGAGGTCCACGTCTTTGTTCTTCAGCTCCTCTGTGCCTTCTGCGTACGCCTCCAGAACAGCGGCCAGGGGCACCTCATAATGCGGGTAGTAGAACAGGTCGTGAGGAATGACGGAGATCTTCGAGAGCGGGGGGGACGGCTTGAAATCCAGGGCTTCTTCGCTGTGACACCCAAGGGTCTCCAGGCTGACACTGCTGCTCGGGGGGTTGGAAGGCAACTCTCCACCGAGCCCCTGGAGGCCTTCCGCGGCCCCCTCCTCCTCGCCAGGACGGTGGCTGGACTTCCTCTTGGCCTTTTCATACACCTCTGGCTTTCCGTCTGCAGGGGCCCCAGCATAGCCTTGAGCTTCTTGTGGGGAGCCCTCCTGGGGTTCCTGTGGGTCAGCCTGATCACGGGGCTCGGACGAGTCTTTCTTCTTGTGGGCCGATTTAACTCTCCTTTTCCCCAGCTTTTCAGCACAGTGCTCCGAAACCTCACCCTCGGCAGGTTTGTCCTCGGGAGGTGACGGAACCTCGTGGAAAGCTTGGCTGGTGGAAGCAAAATCCACAAGGTCACTGTTGAACTTGGAGGCCTTCAGGGGCACGCCTTCAAAGTCATCTTCGTCCATAGCTTCTGCGGTCAGCAGTTGTACCTGGAACTCCAAGGAGTCGGCCATGACAGTGTTTTCTGCCAGGGGTAGGAGGGCAGGACTCTCTCTGCCGTGGCCGGCACCGTTACAGCAGGAAGAACCCTGGGAAGACTGAGGATCTGCCCAAGAAACGTCACTGGGGACCCCATCAGAGGCTGCTTCCCGGATAGTCGAGGCTTCCTGTTTCTGCGTCTTTTCTTCAACCTCTGCTGCTAAGACGTGTCCATCCTGGGTCAACGGCCCCTTGGCCGTTCCCGGGCTCCCTTCAAAGCCCACGTCGTGGCTGTGGAAAGGGCCCCTGCTGCAGGAAGCATCTTTGTAGATGTCAGCCTCGAAGTGGACGGTTTTCTTGATTGGCAAAGAGTTGGTCCTCCGGTTGTCCTTTCTGGATGACAAAATGGATGATTCTGGAGAGGGGTCACTGACGCCGCTGGTCTTACCTGGGGTCGCTTGGAGGACCTGATCGATGATCTGGTGCATGAACTCAGTGGAGCTGTCTGACAGTGCACGGCTGGAGACGCCACCCAGGGAGAATCCCTTTCCACTCTCAGGCTTGTCGGGCTTGTCACAGACGAAGACTTTGGAGGGCGGCGGGTGGCTGCTTTCGTGGTTAATGGTGTAGGCACGTTCCCCGTTCTCAGTCAGAAGGAGGATTTTGCTCTCCTGTTCAGAAGGGGTTTCTTTGATGTGGACAAAGGTGGATTCAATAGGGATTTCTTTATCCAAATCCACAAAATCTTCCTGCAGAGAAACCCAGGACAATAAGAAATAATTAAAGTGTTGAATGTGCTATCTACATTCCCTTCTCAAACACAAACAAAAGCAGAAAATGCCACTTCAAAACTCATGCAAAGTGTCCTGATTACAGGGCCAGCAGTTAGTGTAATGGCTATGTCGCTGGACTCCTATGTAGCTGACCGCAGTTCGATTCCCAGACCTGGTGGCTTAAACTCACGCCGGGTGCGTGTGTGTGCGTGCCCAAGATCCCGAGAGGAGAATGGAGGAGAAGGGACTGTGGCGTGGCCATCCCCCCTGGGGGGTGATTTCTCACTTTCTGTCTCTCTGTGCCCTATAGCAAAAAACCTCTCAAAAAAAAAAAAAAACCAAGTAATATTTGTAACAGTAACATACATACATAAACTAATGATGAACTGCGAGTTCACAAAACATTAGGAACATTGCCCACTTGTCAGTCCTTTCTTTGAAGCAAGGTGCTTATTTTTTTGGAGTGATTTTTGCTATAGGGCACAGAGAGACAGAAAGTGAGAAATCACCCCCCAGGGGGGATGGCCACACCACAACGCCTTCTCCAGTCTCCTTTTGGAATTTTGGGCATGCATACACACGCGTCCAGTTTAAGATTTAAGCTGCCAAGTCTGGGACTCAAACTGCAGTTGACTACACGGGAGTCCAGCGATGTAACATCACACCATCTACTGGTCCCCTAATTACCGAACCCCCTGAGGCAACAATGGGTGTAAAATTACGGACTCAACAGAAGACTGCTGTTGCTGTCAATATTACCATGTCAGGCTTGTGCACAGGTTGGGTGGGGGCTTAACGGAGCCAGACCGGTATCTAACAGGTCTAATACTGCTCCAAAAATATCTGATATATTTTCCAGATACTCAGTATCACCTGAAAATAAAAAGTGAGGCTTTTAGGGGACTGGCAGGTGGCCCGGTGTGGCTGAGGTGCCGGGCTCCCACAGGGCAGACTGTGGATTGGGGGCCTGGCAGCTTGGTTTCTCGCTTCCCCCCTCTCTCTCTCTGGTCAAATTAAATAATAGTGATAATAATAATAATAAATAAAATTTAAAATAAATAATTCTTGTTAAAAATGCTAGGCTTCCGAACGGGCAGGCCTGATCATTTTTAATACTGGTAAAATCTGGTAGCGGCTATGATGTTCCACCTGGCATCTAAAATCACATAGCTTACCCAGATTCCAAGCCAGCGTCTTTGTCATCGGAATTAAGTTTGATATGGGAGAGGTTTGCAAGAGGCGTGACCATCTAACTTTCCCTAGCACTTGTAAATGTAATACAGGTTATATACAATTTTGAAACTAAAATGTGGCGGAGGGCACTGGATTCCCACATGTCCGACCATGGTTTGAAGTCCTGGACCTAACGGCTTGCTTTCTCGCTTTCCCTTTCTCTCTCTCTTTAAATTTAAAAAGTAATAATAACAAGCGGAATTAAATAAATAAATAATAAGTAATTCTTAAAAACTAAAAAAAAGAAGGGACCATCAGTTCGCAAAATAGCTATGTCACTGGACTCCCATATAGTTGACCCCGGTTCGAGTCCTGGACCCGGTGACTTAAACTCACGCTGGGTGTGCGAGACCAAGATCCTGAGAGGACAATGGAGGAGAAGGGACTGCGGCGTGGCCATCCCCCCGGGGGGTGATTTCTCGCTTTTTGTCTCTCTGTCTCTCTGTCTTTCCAGTGAGCACACGCGCCCTATAGAAAAAATGTCTCAAAAAAAAAAAAAAAAAAAAAAAGGAAAAAAAAAAAAAAAAAAAAAAAGAGGAAAACAAAAAACAAACTAAAAAGAGAAATTAAAATGTGGCAAGGTCAAGCTCAGGGACTCGAGCTTGAATTTAATAATCCCAGCTGATCACATGGAACAGCACAGCCCAGTCCCAGCTCTGCCTGCGGGCCAGCACGTGTTACTGTACAGCTGAAAGTCCGGACTGAGGGTCAGGACAACACACTTACGGCTTCCACCTCCGGAAAACGCTCTAGAAACTGTGCCACGTAAGTCACAATAGACTGTTCGTCTGGCGTGTCAACCATGATGTCTGTTAAGAGACGGGTGAGTTAGCAGGACACACAAACACGCTTTCCTGTAGGACCGCGGGACGTCTGGTGGTGAAGGATCCCCGGCTCATCCAGGGTTTTGCTCTTTATTTTGCAGGTGAGGACACACAGGCTGCTGCAGAGGAGCTGGGATGTAGCACCCAGGACTCCTTATTCCCCAGATGCTTAGTCCCTCCCCCAGGAGCAGCCAGCTCTTGGCTGACCCCACAGGTGAGTACAGCAAACCA